AGCAATCCTTCCTAAGCTAGCCTATTTCTTAAGTACTAGCGACGGGTTACCGTTTGCCCAACGGATCTCTCTCGCCCGCCAATTCACTACCCTTTTGAATGAGTCGCTTCGCCCGACTTCAGATTCACTTGTCCTCCTCCTACTGTAGTGTTTCTTATATGCTATTAGTCACGATGATATATCTACTGCTATACGCTCAGATTAGAATCGTGACAACTTGTGACTTGAAAAAATGAAAAAGGGCAGTCAGGTCTTGTGCTCTGTATGTTTTGTACCGTACTCTCCCGGACAAAACACCCGCCCAAATTGTACACCGTCTGGGTAGCTTGTGCGGGGTGGGTGTTATGGGAGACCTCGTTATACCCCCCTTTTTGGGTGATTTTTTATAACACCCCCCTTTTCTTACGATTCCTTATTTTAGCTGTTTATGAGTAGCTGCAAGTACGGGAGGATATCACGAGAATCTCTCCCTCGATGATTGGCCGCGGTGTTTCCACTTAGAATCTGCCGAGATTTTCCCCCTCCCACTATTTCACTGTCGCCAGGTGCTGGTGAATCTTCCGCTGCAAGTGGCCAGAGAGGTGTTTCATGGCATTTTCGAGGGGGTGATGAAGTTCGTGTCGAAACTCACATTCGAGGCTCAACCTGTGATGTTAAAACGACCAGGGAAACACCCAATTTGTCTAATTAAAAAGAAACTTACACTAAAAGATGCCATATACCGCTGGTGCTCAAAAAGCTATTGCTGGACAACACTACCGGCGCGTTGTTGTGAGAACGTCTTTCTGCATTAACCGTCAGCCCCCGGATGGAAGGGCCCCTGGGGGTCTAAAAAAACACTGTGGGGTGGGCTTATAATTGAGGATTTTTATAAGAGCCGAGGCTTATATAATGACAAATATGAATTCTGGTTTTTTTTACACCAAAGTGCTTATCTCGTCCTTGCGACTTTAATCGAATCGATATTGTAGAGGGCAATCAATGTGAATTTCGCGTAAATTGGCAGTGGCTGATTCCCTGCCAACACACACAGTCAGGTTAAGTCAGATTGACCTTATCACAGCTCATTCTGACTGGATGCGAAGGAGATTGGGTCGCGCGAGGGTGAAGGGATTCGAATTTCTGACTGTGGGAATGCAAAATTGTGTTTCATTACAGCGTATCCAGTAAAAAATAAAAACAAATTACACAGGGTGGCGCTTATAATCCGTAAGCCGTTAGGGGTGGGCTTATAATCGAGTAGGTGGATGATGGTTGGTGGGACAGTGACTCGGACGATGAGTTTGATCCGGTTGCAGTCAGTTTGCTTTCTGCATCAGTCAGCTTTTCAATTATGATGCGGTACTAATCCCATTCGATTTCAAGAACGAACCTAGGAAATCAAGCAAATGCATGCAAGATCAAATATAGCTAAGCTAGATACTGCATAATAAAGCAGAATCAAGCAAGTAAAATCCAGCAAAGCCGTCGTACACTCACACGTCTCCCCCTCAAAGTTGGGTGGCATGAGAAACACCCTACTTTGACAAGATAATCATTGAGAGCACTGCGTGCGTTGCCCATATCAGCTTTTGCGACCCAACTGTCCTCCGACGGGGCATATCCCTTCCAGCGTATTAGGAACTCGAGGGTCTTGCCGCGTCTGCGTCGATAAGCGAAAACTCGTTCTACCTCGTACTCTGGTTCATCCTGTACGAGAACAGGTGGTGGTGGCGGTAGCCTTCGTCCCTGGAACTGTTGGTTGGGGTCCTTGTAGGGCTTCAATAGCTGAACATGGAAAAGCGTTGGGAAGCTTTCAAGTAGTAGGTAAGCGCAAGCGGAATGTTACTGGTGTCACCTGTGCCTCAACGTGAAAAGGACCACAGAAGCGAGGCCGGAGCTTGGATGGTAGGTGAGACAAAGTCAAGTTGCGCTTATCGAGAAGAACCTGTTCTCCGACTGCTACGGTATGATCATGTCGCTGGCGATCGGCATACTGCTTCTGGGAGGTCAGCATCGTGGTGAGGCGTCGCTGAGTCTTCTCCCATAGCTGCTGCATGGTGGTGACGAAGTCATGTGCGGCTTGGACGTGTGCCGGTGTGGTTGGCTGCTGTGGTGTGAGTGGTTCCCGTCCGTAACACAGGAAGAAAAGAGGTTTTTCTGTGGCCACATGTGACGCATTGGTTTTAAGCGAACTCAAGTGTCGGTAACGGTGAATCCCAGTGGCTTACATCATCTTTGCAAGCGGTGCGCAGTAACCGATGAAACATCTGATTGAGTCTCTCTGACTGTCCATCAGTCTGGGGTTGGTAGGCTAAAGACATTGCAAGCTTTGTCCCCAAGAAACACATGAGTTCCCTCCAGAACTTACTAGTGAATTTTGGGTCTCTGTATGAGATGAGTGTAGCGGGGATGCCGTGGATGGTGATGATGCGGTCGAAGAAGAGACAAGCAGTTGCTTAAGCTGTAGCCGTGACGTTGGTCAAAAAGAAGTGTCCCATCTTAGAGAACTTGTCGATCACCACCAGTATAGCGTCATGCCCTCGTGAGGTCAAAGATAGCCAAGTGATGAAGTCTAGTCTGACAACTTGCCATGGCTGCTCCGGTACGGGTAGAGACTGAAGTAACCCTACTTTTTTCCTGCTTGCTACTCTTCATCCGCTGGCACGTGTCGCAAGAGGTGACGAACTGCTGCACGTCTGCTGCCATCCCAGGCCAGTAATAAAACTTCGTTATTCCTGCTAAAGTCTTGTTGCTACCAAAATTTCCCGCGTACTGTATATCATGAAACTCCTCCAGTAGGATTTGTCGGAGCGGGGCATAGTTCGGTACCCAAATCTTTCCTGTTCCCTTCCTTACAGCTAAGTATTTCTCCCACTGCAATAGCTTCTTTTTATCTGCCATATCGATCTCTGCATCCACGTAGTATCCACATAGACCCTTGAGCAGAGGGTTCATCCCGTTGAGCTGGATGACTGCTACATGTCCGGGGCAGCTCAACGCGTCTGCTTTGTTGTGTAGCCCGGGCTTGTAGATGATGTTGTTGTGGAAGTGAGTTTCCAAGAAGTCCACCCACCGCACATGTCGTCGTGAGAGCGTCGGCTGCGACTTCAGGTACTTGAGACTGCAGTGATCGGTGTAGACTATTGTCTTGGCTTTTTCTAGGTAACACCTCCACGCCTTGAAGGCTGTGACTATAGCTAAGGCTTCCATGTCATGGATTGGGTAATTCAGTTCAGCTCCGTATAGCTTCTTACTGAGGTAGGCGATGGGTTACAAACCGCGTCTGTGATCCTGCATAAGTACTGCTCCGACTGCCTGGTCAGTAGCGTCTGCTTCCACCACGTAGTCTGTGTCTAGATCTGGTAGGATGAGTACTGGCACTACAGTCAGTGCTGTCTGTAGCTGCTCCATGGCTTGCTGTTGAGGAGTAACCCATTTGCTGGGCGTGTCCTTTTTCAGTAGGTTGGTCAGCGGCGCTGCTATCTTAGCGTACTGCGGCACGAACCTGTTGTAGTAGTTGGCGAAGCCTACACGCTGCAGCAACTCCTTCATATTCTCAGGTACTTTCCACTTCTTGATGGCTTCGATTTTCCGAGAGTCCACGTGTACGCCCTCGGCACTCACCATGTGTCCGAGAAACTGCACCTTCTTTAGGGCGAAGTCGCTCTTTGACAGCTTCATGTAGAACTTGTTCTCCCGCCGGATCCCGAGGACTTTCTGCAGATGCTCCACGTGCTCCTTCATGTTCTCGGAGTAGATGAGTATGTCGTCCAAGTACACCACTACGCATTCGTCCAGCAGGGGCTGTAGGAAGTGATTCATCTCCGCCTGGAACGTTGCTGGTGCATTGCAGAGTCCGAACGGCATCACCAAGTACTCGTAGGAGCCGTATCTGGTACGGAACGCCGTCTTGTGGATCGAGTTGTCTGCCATCTTGATCTGCTAGTAGCTCGACCGTAGGTCCAGCTTTGAAAATACTGTTGCACCACGTAGTTGGTCTAGAAGTTCGTTTATGCGCGGTATGGTGTATTTGTTCTTGTCTGTTTGTTCAATGCCTGGTAGTCGATGCACATTCGTAAACTGCCGTCTGGCTTAGGAGTGAAGATAACTGGTGCGCCATGGGGAGAGGTGGATGGGCGGATCAGTTGTCTGTCCAGTGGGTACTCAATCTGTTTCTTCATATCGGTCAGTTCGGTTGGACTAAGGTGGTATGGTGCACGGGAGACGAATTTCGCACCTAGTTCCTACACGATCTCGTGCTTGTGGGTTCGTACAGGTGCTCATCCAGGGCCACATCTTCCTCAACAGGTGCTCATCCAGGGCCACATCTTCCCCTTCATCCAGGGCCACATCTTCCTCAACAGGTGCTCATCCAGGGCCACATCTTCTTCAACAGGTGCTCATCCAGGGCCACATCTTCCCCTTCAGGTGCTCATCCAGGGCCACATCTTCCTCTTCAGGTGCTCATCCAGGGCCACATCTTCCTCAACAGGTGCTCATCCAGGGCCACATCTTCCTCAACAGGTGCTCATCCAGGGCCACATCTTCCTCAACAGGTGCTCATCCAGGGCCACATCTTCCTCAACAGGTGCTCATCCAGGGCCACATCTTCTTCAACAGGTGCTCATCCAGGGCCACATCTTCCTCAACAGGTGCTCATCCAGGGCCACATCTTCCTCAACAGGTGCTCATCCAGGGCCACATCTTCCTCAACAGGTGCTCATCCAGGGCCACATCTTCCTCAACAGGTGCTCATCAAGGGCCACATCTTCCTCAACAGGTGCTCATCCAGGGCCACATCTTTCTCAACAGGTCCCCGCCGCTCCCTCCCCTTCACCCTCTCCCTCCCCTCCGCTCTCCTCCGCTCCCCTCCGCTCCCCTCCCCTCCCCTCCCCTCCCCTTCCCTCCTCTCCCCTCCCCTCCCCTCCCCTCCCCTCCCCTCCCCTCCCCTCCCTTCCCTCCCCTCCTCACCGATCCCCCCCTTCCTCTCTTCCCTCTCCCTTTTTTCTCTCTCATCCTCACGCCTTCCTGCCAGCCAGCTGGCACGAAGATGCGGTTCCAAGTAAGCCCCACTCTGTTGCATTGTCCACCACGCCACATTGTCCGCCACGCCACTTTGTCTGCCACTCCACTTTGTCTGCCACGCCACTTTGTCTGCCACGCCACTTTGTCTGCCACGCCACATTGTCCGCCTGCACTATTCTCGTACTCCAACACTCATCCCTCTCCTTGCTTTTCTCGTCCACTTTCACCACGTTTGTCCCTTATCGTGCCCCTGACACCCCTCCCTACCCCCCTTCACCTTACAGTCCTCTGTAGCGCCTTCACCTATCCCTCCTCTTGAGTGCCTCTCCTTGCCCACTCACTTCCGTCTCCTCTTCCCTTTCACAGAGCATCTTTTCTGCATGCTGCTCAGAGCTGCATGCCGTGCGTCTCTCTCTCTTCCATCCCCGCTTTCTGCCTCCTCTCCCCACCTGGCCGTCCCCACTTCCCCCTACCCCTCCCTGCCTGCCATGCCCCCCATTCCCCCCCTTGCCCCGTCATCTCAACCTCCCCTCCCCCTCCCCCACTTCCCTCACCTCGCCGTCTGCATCGCCATCCTCCCCACCTGTCCGCTCCGCCAAGCCTCAATCCCCCATCTCTCTCCCCCGCCTCTCTCCCCCACCTCTCTCCCCCACCTCTCTCCCCCACCTCTCTCCCCCACCTCTCTCCCCCACCTCTCTCCCCCACCTCTCCCCCCACCTCTCTCCCCCGCCTCTCCCCCCCTGCCCGCCCCCCTGCTCGCTCACCGAGGCCTTCTGCATCGCCATCCTCGAGGCCGCCTGCTGCGGCCTCTTCGTCGTCGCCACGCGTGTCGGCGGCGTGCCCGAGGTGCGGTGAGGTGAGGTGAGGTGAGGTGCGGTGACGTGAGGTAAGGTGAGTTGAGGTGAGGTGGGATGAAGTAAGATGAGGTGAGCGGGCTGGGGCGAGGCGAGGCGAGGCGAGGGGAGAATGGGGTTGAGGGGAGAGTGGGGGTGAGGGGAGAATGGGGTTGAGGGGAGAATGGGTTTGAAGGGAGAATGGGGTTGAGGGGAGAATGGGGTTGAGGGGAGAATCGGGTTGAGGGGAGAATGGGGTTGAGGGGAGAATGGGGTTGAGGGGAGGGGTTGAGGGGAGAATGGGGTTGAGGGGAGAATGGGGTTGAGGGGAGAGTGCGGTTGAGGGGAGAGTGGGGTTGAGGGGAGAGTGGGGTTGAGGGGAGAGTGGGGTTGAGGGGAGAGTGGGGTTGAGGGGAGAACGGTGAAGTGGGCTCTGCCGTGTCCTGCACCGTGCTGTGATATGTTGCGGGCGCCATGGGGCAGTGCTGCATGATGTAGCAAGGCGAGGTTCACATGGGTCCGTGTGATGGGTGCCACATGGGACCGTGTGATGGGTGCCACATGGGTCCGTGTGATGGGTGCCACATGGGTCCGTGTGATGGGTGCCACATGGGTCCGTGTGATGGGTGCCACATGGGTCCGTGTGATGGGTGCCACATGGGTCCGTGTGATGGGTGCCACATGGATCCGTGTGATGGGTGCCACATGGAATCTGGAAGGTCTCATTGTGTTATTGCGAGCTGGAATGAGGCTGTGCATCCTCCCTAGTGCACTCCACCTCCCCTGCCGTGTCTGCCATTGCACGCTTTCCTTTGCCACTGCTCTCCCTGCTGTGCCTTTCAATTCCCCCCTCATTTGCCTTCTACACCCCCCTCCAATTCATCTCCTTCCCGCTCCTTTTACGTGCGTGTCTCCCCATCCCCCCTCGTCCTCTCGAACCACATCTCCCCCCCCCCCCAAAGGGGCTGCCACTCGCCAGAATGAGCCATCTTAGACAATTCTCAAGCACTCCCACCGCCCCTCCCACCGCCCCACCACCCATGGCGAGGGTCCAGCCGGAGCAGCACATGGAGGTGGCGCCCGACTTCCCCAGCATGCCCACTGCGCACCTGCCACCGCCACCGCCGCCGCCTCTCTCCTCTCATGCACGCCAGCATGATGCCCACAGCACGCCTCAACCACGCTGCTGACGCAAGTCTTTGCTTTATTGAATGCCACAGCACGAGACGTCTTGCTTAGACTACACTACCAGAATCTGCAAGTGGGTGCGAGGCTGCAGTTCATGCGCAACAAGGTATTCAGCCCACATTGCAAGCAGGAAGAAATGTCGGAACACTGCCTGCTTGGCTGCCCAGCAAGACAAAAAGGTGGTGACGCTCTTGAAGCAAGGATTTATGGCAATGAATAGGACCTGGAGGGTTTGCTCTTCATGCAGAGAAGCACAAAGTCGGGGTTTCCGGAAAGTTCTTTAATTGCCACCACATTTCACCAAATCTGGTTGCCGAGATATGACGCGAACTTGCACAATGTCCGATTCTAGACAAAACGGGTGCTGCCGCGAATGGTGGTGAATTTTATCGTGCGCGCACGGGTGTACTGCTTGGGACGGGAAGTTGCGGCCAGGAAGCGGGGAGTACCGGTAAACGGGGACACATGGGCACATCTGGAGGCAGACGAGACAGTGGTCATGAAAAGAATATGCAGCAATGCTGCACTGCTAACGTGGAGGATGAAATTCAGCTCCATCGGGGATAACCCGAAGCTGACGCATCAGCCACCATAGGTTGTAAGAGGGAATCTGTGGTAACCGTTACCATGGCTCTCTCCTACCTACACAGTTACGACTGACGATGTTCTTATTGCATTCCTTGTAATGCCTTAGAGCATAAAAAAAAAAAAAAAAAAAAAAAATCTTTTATGTTAGTGCTGTCCTCAGCCAAGCGCATGAGCAAACCACCAAACGAGGGTCGTGACGAGGGTCGTGGAACCATCGCTCTGCAAGGGAAGGCCGGGAAGCGGGTCCTCATCCTCGACGTGCTCTACGTTCCGGGTGTACAGGCAAACCTGCTATCTGCTGGCCAGCTGAAGGAGAGCGGAGTGCAGCTGCAGGGCGACGGCGACGAGATGCTGCTCGTCGCCGCGACCGGGGAGGTGCTCGGTCAAGCACGCTACACCGGACGTGGCCTCTGCACCGATCTTCGCCCCTGCTCGACGCATTTGCCGTCGACCGAGGTGGTGGCTCTGTGGACGATCGTCTCGGCGACGAAGTCGACCCTTGACCGGCTGCATGCGAGGCTCGCGCACGTCGGTGTCAGCACGATCAAGAGCCCGGCGAAGCATGAAGTTGCTGTTGGGCTCGACATCATGCCGTCGACCGGAGCAGACCCGCCGCGTGTCTCGTGCGTTGGAGGAAAGCTGGCGCGGCACACCTTCTCTGACAAGGGCTCGGACGCCGAGGAGGCACTGGCTGTCATGCACATTGACTTGTGCGGGCCATTTTGGGTGGCTGCCAAGGATGGCAGCTTGTACTTCCTGCTGCTGAAGGATCGCCATACTCGGTTCGTGTGGGCAATGCCGGTCGCTAAGAAGAGCGACGTGCTGCGGGAGTTCCAACAGTGGCTGGTGCTGGTGGAACGGCAGACGAAGAAGTCCGTGTTGTCGCTTCGCTCAGACCGGGGAGGGGAGTTCCTCGGACAGGATTTCACCAACTTCGTCGACGGGAAGGGCATCGTCCACGACCTGACGTGCCCCTACACTTCGCAGCAGAACGGCATGGCTGAGCGGGAGATGCGCACGGTCGTCGAGTCCGTGTGGACGATGCTGCTGCACATGGGCGTGCAGCACCACTGGTAGCACCTCGCTCTTCGATAAGCTGTCTGGGTGCGCAATTGCTTGGAGCTTTCGACGCCGCCGCCGGGGACAACGCCGTACCAGCTGCTGACCGGGAAGAAGCTCGACCTCATGCAGGCGCGGGTGTGGGGCTGCATGGTGCAGTTCATGTTTCCCGAGCAGATGCGCGATGTGAAGCTGGTGCCATAAGCTCGCTGTGGGCTTCACATGGCTGTGTCGCTGGAGAGCAAGGGCTGGGAGGTGCTCGACCTGACCGACAACAAGGTGGTCACGTCGGTCCAGGTGATCTTCTACGAGACGCTGTCGCTGGAGGTGTGGAAGGCGAAGTATGGGCCGGCGTCGGGGCGGATGCAGGCACACCCACCGACGGACACCTCGACAGCGACGGTTCCACTGCTCGCCGAAGTCGACGAGCCTACTGATGAGGATGCTGTGGAGGTTCTTCCACCTTCCCCTGCTCTTGCTCCTCCCTCCCCCGTCGCAGATCGGACTGCGTCGACGCCTCTGGCGCTGCCCAGTGGCATCGCCGGCGGTCGACAAGGCGCCAAGCTCGTCGACAAGGGCAGGAAGCCGTCGACGACAGGGGAGCAGCAGACAGGGGAGCCGGTCGAACAGGAGGCAGTAGCAGGGGTGCAGTCGATAGGGGAAGCAGCCGGGGCGGTCGACAGGGGAGCTGTCGAAGTCAGCAGGAGAAGATTAGCCGGTCGAAGGGTCGAAACAGCTGGTCGACGACGAGGACGTCGACGAGGAAGGGGAGCGGTCGGCGGGTGAGGAGTCCACCGACAGCGACGGGGTGGAGGTGCCGATCACGAAGCTTGAGCTGCGACGCACAGGTCTGTTAGAAAGAAGAAGTGTTGAACTAGAAAGAAGTGAGAGTACAAAAGGGAAACCCTAGAGTTGTGAACCCCCTATAGGCTAACCCACTATAGCCTACACAAATATAACAAGTATAATGTTTGACACACCCCCATAGGCGAAGTGGGGGAGAGCAAGGGGTCACAAGACCAGTCAAAGCAAAGCAAGGCAAAACAAGCTCAGGGTGGATCTCAAGGATACCACACAAATTCCGAGCACAAGCAAGCGGTCACAAGACCAGTTCACATGCAGTTTGATAATATAACAAGAGGTACAGTGATCACAACCTAGCAAGTGTAAGCATGCGGGTATATATATAGAGATCACAGTACAAGCAGAGTCAAGAAGTGAGCAAGTGAGGGACAGTAGGCACAAGGCCTAGAACAGTACAGAAACGCTGATGATCACAAGGCTGAAGCGCCTTGGTGAACACATCAGCAGTGTTGGCCCGAGTGGCCACGTACAAGAGACGAAGCTGACCACGCTGCTGCAGCTCTCGAGCAAGGAAGTAACGCAGAGCGATGTGCTTCGTTCTGTGCTCCAGTCTGTGCTCCTCACACAAGGCAATGGCTGCCTTGTTGTCGACGTACAGCACTGGAGGAGAACGAGGCCGCTCTCCAAGGCCGGTCAGCAGGTAGGTGAGCCAGCATAGCTCCTGAGCAGCCATGGCTGTGGCGTAGATCTCAGCCTCACAACTGGAGCTGAGTACAGAGGAAGAGCGTGTAGAACGCCACGAAACAGAGCCAGAGCCAAGGCTGAAGGTGTAACCCTGAGACGACCGTTGCGTAGCCTGGTCGTCAGCCCAAGAAGCGTCTGAGTGTCCAGTGAGGACAACGTCGCGCCGTCCTCCAAGCACAAGCCCCATGCCCGACGTACTGCACAAGTAGCGCAACACCCTCTTAGCGGCATCCATGTGCTCTTTCCGGTGACGGCCAGGAGCGACATAGCGTGCTAGGATGCTAAGAGGGTATGCAAGGTCAGGTCGAGTGCAGGTCATCAGGTACATGAGGCAACCCACAAGCTCTGGATACGGGCCACTCGGCTCTACGGACTCATCCGAAGGCAGAGCTGAGAGCGAGTGACTGGTAGGCAGAGGAGTGGGCTGAGGCGAGGAGTACGTGAAGCGGAAGCGCTGAAGGACCTGCTGCACCATGTGTGACTGAGTCAAGGTGATGGTGCGCTGTGCTCTGTCCCGGGTGATCCGCAAGCCAAGATAGCTTGTCAGCTCACCCAGGTCTGTGCACGTGTATCTCTTCTGCAGCTCCGACTTCACGTGGGCGAGTGCCTCAGTGTCAGCAGTAGCAAAGACCAAGTCGTCTACGTACACGAGAACGTAGAACGGCGGCAGAGTGGTGTCGGTGCGTAGAAACAGCAACGGGTCAGCAGTAGAAGGAGGAAACCCAAGAGCAGCAAGAGTAGTCCTCAGTGTATCGTGCCACTCACGGGGTGCCTGGCGGAGACCGTAGACCGGCCGCCGGAGGCTCCACTGGGTACCAGGAGGGAACGACCCAGTGAAGCCAGGTGGGCGGCGCAGCCAGATCTCCTCGTGCAGGCTGCCCTATAAGAACGCAGTGCTGAAGTCAAGAGAGTGGAGCTCGTAGTCACGCTGAGCGGCGACGTGCAGCAGAACCCGAAGAGTGGTCATCTTCGGGGTCGGGGAGAAGGTCTGGAAGAAGTCAACTCCCTCTCGCTGACTGAAGCCTCGTGCAACGTAACGCGCCTTGAAGACAGGCGGAGAACCCGGCGGCCGCTTCACCCTGAAAATCCACATGCCACTGACGATGTTCGCCCCAGGTGGGGGAACCTCGTCGACGTAGGTGCCTGTGGACTTCCAGGAAGCCATCTCTGCGTAAGAGCGTGGGGTCGGGATGTCTGGTGCATCCGGGTCTCCCTCAGGGGCAACTAGCATGGACACGAGATGAGGCAAAGCAGCGGCAAAGCACTCAAACTCCTCCTGCCTGTCCTCAAGGACGTGCGTGCCAAGAGCACACTCACCCCCGACGGACGGAGGACAGACAGACTCAGACTCAGACTCAGCAACAAGGCTAGCGGCGTAGTCTAGACGACAGGCGGCAGCAAAGTCAACAAGCTCAGCGACTAGAGCAGACGCAGCAGAGGACTCAAAGGAAGGGTCAGTGACAACAGTGGCAAGGAGACGCGTGACAGTAGGACTGGCAGCACGAAGAGAGTCAGACTCCGGGTCAGCGAGAGCAGGAAGAGAGGACGCTGGTGGAGACAGCAGAGGGACACGCTGTGGAGCAGTCGAAGGACGCAGGGTCATATAGTGAGTGCCAAGGACAGGAGGAGGACGCTGACGCGGAGCACGACGACCAGCGCGGACAGCGTGGACAGGCGACTCTGGAC